GTTCCATCCACATTGTTGCAAATGGAAAGATTTCATTCTTTCTCATTGCCAAGGAGTATTCCATTGTATATATAGGCCACATCTTTCTCCATTCATCAGTTGATGGAAATTTGGGCTCTTTCCATAATTTGGTTATTGTTGAAAGCACTGCTATAAACATTGGCGTACATGTGCCCCCATGAATCATCACTCCTGTATCCTCTGGATAAATTCCTAGTAGTACTATTGCTGGGTAGTAGGGTAGTTCTATTTTTAATTTTTGAGGAACGTCCACACTGTTTTCCAGACTGGCTGCACCAGTTTGCATTCCCACCAATAGTGCAAGAGGGTTCCCATTTCTCCACATCCTCGCTAACATCTTTTGTTTCCTGAGTTGTTAATTTTAGCCACTCTGACAGGTGGGAAGTGGTATTTTAGTGTGGTTTTGATTTGCATTTTCCTGATGATGAGCGATGTTGAGCATCTTTTCATGTGTCTGTGGCCATCTAGGTGTCTTCTTTGGAAAAGAAGTGGTGAGAGTGCCCACTTCTTCACTGGATTTTTTTTCAGATATTGAGTTTGGTAAATTCTTTATAGATTTTGGATACTAACCCTTTATCTGATATGTCATTTGCAAATATCTTTTCCCACTTCATCTGTTGTCTTTTAGTTTTGTTGATTGTTTCCTTTGCAGTGCAGAAGCTTTTAATCTTGATGAGGTCCCAATAGTTCATTTTTGCTTTTATTTACCCTTGCCTTTGGAGAAGTGTTGAGTAAGAAGTTGCTGTGGCTGAGGTCACAGAGGTTGTTGCCTGTTTTTCTCCTCTAGGGTTTTGATGGTTTCCTGTCTCGCACTTAGGTCTTTTATCCATTTTGAGTTTATTTTTGTGTGTGGTGTAATAAAGTGTTACAGTTTCATTCTTCTGCATGTTGCTGTCTAGTTCACCCAGCACCATTTGCTAAAGAGACTGTCTTTTTTCCATTGGATACTCTTTCCTGTTTTGTCAAAGATTAGTTGGCCATACATTTGTGGGTCCAATTCTGGGTTCTTTATTCTATTCCATTGGTCTATGTGTCTGTTTTTGTGCTAATATCATACTGCCTTGATGATTACAGCTTTGTAATAGAAGCTAAAGTCTGGGATTGTGATGCCTCCCACTTTGGTTTTCTTTTTCAACATTACTTTGGCTATTCAGGGTCTTTTGTGATTCCATACAAATTTTAGGATTGTTTGCTCTAGCTCTGAGAAGAATACCAGTGCAATTTTGATTGGGATTGCATTGAATGTGTAGATTGCTTTGGCTAGTATTGACATATGAACAGTATTTGTTCTTCCAATCCATGAACATGGAATATTTTTCCATTTCTTTGTGTCTTCATCAATTTGTTTCATAAGTTTTCTATAGTTTTCAGCATAACAGATCTTTTATATCTTTGGTTAGGCTTATTCCTAGGTATTTTATGGGTCTTGGTGGAATTGTAAGTGGAATCAATTTCTTGATTTCTCTTTCTGTTGCTTCAATATTGGTGTATAGAAATGCAACCAATTTCTGTACATTTTATATCCCCAGCAAAGAAACTGTATCAGTAACTCCCAAAAAACAAAAGTCCAGGACCAGATGGCTTCTCAAGAAAATTCTACCAAACATTTAAAGAAACCTACTCTTTTCAAACTTTTCCAAAAAACAGAAAATGAAAGAAAATTTTCAAATTTGTTCTATGAGACCAGCATTACCCTGATACCAAAACCAGACAAAGACTCCATTAAGAAAGAGACTACAGGCCAAAATCTCTGATGAACATGGATGCAAAATTCTCAATAAAATACTAGCAAACTGATCCAAGAATATATATTAAAAAATCACTAACCTTGATGAAGTGGGATTTATTACTGGGTTGCATGAGTGGTTCAATATTTGCAAATCAAACAATGAGACACACCACATTAATAAAAGAAAAGATAAAAATCATATGATCATTTCAATAAATGCATTTCAGAAAAAGCATTTGACAAAGTACAACATCCATTTATGTAAAAACTCTCAAAAAAAGTAGGTTTAGGGAAAACATAATTCAACACAATAAAGGCCACATATGAAAAACCCACAGCTAATATAATCCTCTATGCGGAAAATCTGAGAGCTTTTCCACTATGGTCAGGAACAAGATAGGGATGTCCACTCTCACCGCTTTTATTTAACATAGTACTGGAAATCCTAGATACAGCAATCAGACAACAAATAAAAATAAAAAAGCATACAAATCAACAAGAAGAGATAAAATTTTCACCATTTGCAGATGACTTGATACTCTATACAGAAAACTGAATAACTCCACCCAAAAACTGTTAGAATGGATAAACAAATTCAGTAAATTCTCAGGATATAAAATCAACATACAGGAATCTGTTGCATTTCTATACACCAATAATGTAAGCAACAGAAAGAGAAACTAAGGAATCAATCCCATTTACAATTGTACCAAAACCAATAAGATACCTATGAATAAACCTAACCAAAGAGGTGAAAGATCTGTACTCTGAAAATGATAAAACACTGATGAAAGAAATTGAATGTGACACAAATAAAATAGAAAGACATCCTATGTTCATGGATTGGAGAGCAAATATCGTTAAAATGTCTGTACCACCCAAAGCAACATATCTATACATTTAATGCAATCTATACATTTAATGCAATCCCTATCAAAGTACCAACAGTATTTTCACACAGCTAGAAAAAACAATATTGTTCTATATGGAGCCACAGAAGACCCTGAAAAGCAGTCTTGAAAAAGAAAAGCAGAGATAGAGGAATCATAATTATGGACATAAAGTTATATTACAAAGCTACAGTAATCAAAAGAGTATGGTGCTGGCACAAAATAAACACATAGATCAATGAAACAGAATAGATAACTCAGAAATAAACTCACAACTATATGGTCAATTACATTTAAAAAAATCAGGAAAGAATATCCAAAGAATTTCCAATCCAAAGACAATTTCTTCAACAAATGGTGTTGGAAAACTAGACAGCAACATGCAAAAGAATGAAACTGGGCTTTCTTACATTATACACAAAAATAAATCCAAAATGGATTAAGGATCTAAATATGAGACCTGAAACCATGAAAATACTAGAAGAGACCACAGGCAGTAATTCTCTGACATTTGCTATAGAAACAGTTTTCTAGATATGTCTCCTGAAGCAAGGGAAACAAAAACAAAACTAAACTACTGAGACTACATCAAAATAAAAAGCTTCTGCACAGTGCAGAAAACAAACAGCAAAAGGAAAAAACAACCTATGGAATTGGAGAAGATATTTGCAAATGACATATCTGACAAATGGCTAGTATCCCAAATATACAAAGAACCTATAAAACACAACACCCCAAAAAATGAATAGTCCAATTAAAAAATGGGCAGAAGACATGAATAGACATATTTCCAAAGAAGACATATAGATGGCCAACAGACACATGAAAAGATGCTCAACATGACTGATTGTCAGGGAACTGAAAATCAAAGCTACAATGCAATATTACATCACACATGTCAGAATGACTAAAATCAGAACCACCATAAACAAGTGTTGGGGATGATGTGGATAAAGGGGAACTCTCTTGCTCTGTTGGTGGGAATGCAAACAGCCACTCTGGAAAACATTATGGAGGTTCCTCAAAAAGTTAAAAGTAGAACTACCCTAAGATCCAGCAATTGCACTAGGTATTCACCCAGAGAATACAAAAATACTCAAAGGGATACATGCACCTTGATGTTTATAGCAGCATTACTACAATAGTCAAATTATGGAAATAGCACAAGTGTCTATCAACTGATGACTGCATAAGGAAGTGGTACATATACATGTGCACTAGACTATTACTCGGCCATAAGAATGAATGAAATTTTGCCATTTTCCTTAACAGGAATGGAGCTAGAGAGTATTATGCTAAGTGAAATAAGTCAGAGAAAGACAAATACCATATGATTTCATTCACATATGGAAGTTATGAAACAAAATAAAAGAGGAAAGCAAAAATAGAGAGCAAGACAAACCAAGAAACAGAGTCTTAAGTAGAAAACAAACTGATGGTTACTCGAAAGAGGGTGAGTGGGGGATGAGTTAAATAGGTGATGGAGATTAAGGAGTGCACTTGTAATGATGAGCACCGGGTGTGGTATGGGAGTGTTAAGTCACTATATTGCATCCCCGAAACCAATACTACCCTATATGTTAACTAACTGGAATTGAAACAAAAACTTTAAAAATACCATTATGTTTCATCTTTTAACCCATTTTAATTAATGTGTTTGCTTAAAATTTAAAATTTCTAGCTGCTAGATATAAAGCTACCACATTTTAAAAACATTTGATTTTGCAAAACCACCCTACAAGAGATATTCTAAATTCACTTTCTAGCAACAGAGTATGAGAATACATGAGATTATCATTGCCAGCTTTTACCTAGAAGCCTTTCCAGAGACAACCAATTTGGGACAGTGTGGGACAACCAATCAAGCATTTATCAAAAGCTTGATCACATACACAACCCTTATTTATTTATGCCATTGGGTAAATTTATCATTTTCCCCTAGTAAACTATAGCTAGTTATAAAATATGTTCTCCTATGAGTGGATTATTTATTAATTTCTTTTTTTTTAATATTTATTTATTTTTGGCATAGTGCAAACAGGGAAGGGGCAGAGAGAGGGGGACAGGGGATCTGAAGCAAGCTCTGTGCTGACAAGCTGACAGCAGTGAGCCCGAAGTGGGGCTCGAACTCATGAATTATGAGATCATGACCTGAGCCAAAGTCGGATGCTCAACCGACTGAGCCACCCAGGTGTCCTTATTTATGAATTTCAAGTGAGTATATGCACTGAATTTAATAAAAAAAACCATTCTTTTGAATATGAAAAATGCTACAACTTATTTTTCATATAACAGCATGCACTTCTGGAATCCAGAAGATGGTTAGAATAGGTGAGTTTTAAGTGAAGTGAGTCACTCACAGTGTATCACTTCAATCTTGGGACTCTTCTGAGCACGCTTTTCCGACTTCTTCAGCCCTGAGAGTCCTTATTATTTCATTGTTCACATCTTCATAGGATGCCACTTATCCAAGATGCTGGAGGCAAACAACAACCAAAGAACAACCAAAGTCAGTTTGGTTCCTCATCAACTATAGCAGCATTGGCCTCCCGCTACACTCAAATGTCAATAGCACTCACCCATCGATCACAGAATGATTAGAGAATAAACCAACCTCCAACAACAACAGTAAAAATCAGTGGCTCTTGGGCTCACTCTAATTTATTTAAATATCTTGCTCCTTATTCTTTGCTACAATATTCTCTATTAATACTCATTGACAGAGGAAGATTTTATTATCTTCTTGATATTCACAGAAAACACAAAAAAAATGACAGCTCATTATGATGCCAATATGTTTATATTTTTTAAGGTGTAAAGGTGACATATATTACAACTGATAAGCCAATATTGAGACACTGTTATTAACTAAAGTCCATAGTTTACATTAGGGTTCACTCTTGGTGTGGTACATGTAATACATTTTGACAAGTATATAATGTCATATTCCACCATGACAGCATCATACATGATAGTTTCACTGCCCTAACAGGCTGGTTTTTTTTCCTTAAACTTGTTAAGTAATAAAATAATTTATATATTAAACCCTCATTAACTAATTACAAAGCTATTTATTCCTTATTTTTTAAGTTAAATACTCATTTAATAATAAATTAAATTGAAATACAATTAAATTGAACATTAATAGCAAAAATGTGGGTAATCAGTAGAGAAAAGTGATTCGAGGACTTCAGAAAAATTCTTAAACAAGATAACTATGAACAAAAATTAAACTATTATCTGTTTTATGTTAATTAAATTAAAATGCAACATAAAATAACGAATACATTAGCATTTTCTTGGTTGTGAACTTTAAGAGCTATTGATTGCTTAAATATATTTTAGTCAGCCTTTTCCTTTGGGGTCAAAATAATTAACATCACCATATATGTATCCTCCTCAGGAAATCATGGACTTGAAAAATTAACTTCATTAGTACATATTACAGTTCCATTAAGCTATCTTATAATTTCATATCTAAAATCTAGCATGGATTAAAAGTTTGCTTTGCTTTTGGTTTTTTTTTTCACAAAATTCTCTGAAAGAAAGCATGCAGCTAAGTGACAAACATTTAAAACAATTATGTAAAAAATTGCCAATAATACATATTTTAGAAAAAAATGCTCTTTGGTTTATGATGTTTTACTTACATTATTTTCGTAAAGACTGTTGCTTATGTTTTCTACCATAGTTTACATGGGTTTTGTGCTGTTTGTATTAATATTATCTGTCTACAGACCTTACTGTTTATTTTCTTGACTTGGTCTATTGTCTCTCCATTGTACACAGATTCTATGTGTGTTTTTGTTTACAGAAGACAGTCTTTTTCTCCAAATAATGCTTATATAGGATCACTTGTTTCTTGTTTTCTCCTATTCATTTTTCTGACCTGTACTATATATTATTTGGCTATTGCTTTTGGGTTTAAGTGAACTTAAAAATTGAAGTAGTTTTTATTCATTAATTGTTCCCATTAATGCAGAATTTGGGGACAGTCCTCTTTTTTTTTTTTTTTTTCATTTCTGAATGACTGGTTATCAAATTTATTCTTTACTTCTATTATATTACAATTTTCTTCAGAGAGCCAGTGCCATGGGCTAAAATTCCCATGTCTTAGCAGCTGTGAAACTACTCAGGTTGCCTAACCTCATTTCCTCAGTCTTCTCTTCATAAACATGGGGCTAATAATTATACCAACAATGTGGTTAAATTGTCAGTATTAAGTAAAATAATTAATGTAAAACATGATATAATGCTTCACACATAGCAATCTTCAGTAATTACTAGCAATTCTGCTTAGTATAATTGTTTTTGTTGTTCTACTTTGAATGCAGTAAAGATATTTAGGCTTATTAATACCTTGAACTTAACTGTAATACCTTTTATAGGGTAGTAACCTTCCAAGATATCTAATCAATGTGATTCTGAATTTCTCTTCTTCACGAAAGCTTAGTAAAAAGCCAAATCCAAGGTGAGATCTAGGAGACATCAGCCACATTCACCTTTTGAGGCCACAGCAGTTATCCCAAGCAAAAGAAAAGCAAACAATAGGACTTCTAAGCTCCTACTGCTGTTTTAGCCTTTTCTTGTGCAAAGCAGTAGTATGAAGGAAAAAGACAAATCTAGTTTTCGTGCAATACTGTGGTCCAATGTGAGTATGCTAAAAGAGTATTTACGTTCCAAGAAATCAACAAATGGCCAAATATAAGATCTCTTTTGAGACTGAGGCCCAAACCAAGCCATCCTCCTTAACTTGTCTGATTAACTCTTTAATTGCTGTAAGCGGGGCTCTATTTTACAGCTGTTCATTCTTTTAAGGACATGCAACAAATATTTTTAAACAACCATGAGAAAGATGGCTGCCATTTAAGGTGAAGAACATGAAGAATTTGGCATTCTGTGGTCTTAGTCACTTAAGAAAGAGTTAACTATCTTGAGTGGGGGATAACATAATTAGCCAACACAGTGAAAACTACTAAGTTTTCTTTGACATACCCAACTTTAAATTATTTTTATCTCAATATATATGCTTATAGTTGTTAGCTAACTTGTTCCAGTTTTTCATTCAGAAAATATTGCCATTATGTTGATTGACATAAATCATAAGCTATGAATACTTTGAGAAGGAGAACCGAATCACTTCTTTTTGTGAATAACAACAGTATAGAATGTCCATTCTCTTTGGACCCTGGGTAGGATTTTAGATGAGAAAGATGTGTATGTGTGAGTTTGTGTGTGTGGGGGGAGAGTGTTAAATTTTTCAGGGGTGAAACTTCTATAGGATGGAGTGACAGACATAAAAACAAAGGTATGAGGCAATTTAGGGAACAGTGTATTTCAAATTTTAAGGTAAAACAAAATGGAAATTTTACTTAAGATCTTTGTAGTAGAAGACTTTCAATGTCAGGCTGAAGAAATTTAATAATTTTGAGGTTAAGAGTAAATATTTGGTGATAGGTGACAAGGGCAGTAACATAGAAGTGCAAAGGATATGGAAGAGAAGCGAACTTGATCATTTTCTCCAAATCCCTCATTTTACTGATGAGGATACTGAGGTCTATAGAGGTAAGGCAACAATTTCAAAGCCCAATTAAACTGCCTATGTTTCACATTACCATTATTACCTATCTGTAGGTTTTAGATAACTTAGTTGATTGTCTGTTTAGATATATATATATTTTTTAAGTAATTCAACTATAGTTTGGAGGGAGGAGCTTACATTTTGAATGGTCTTCAAATAGAAACATAAAATTCAACTCTGCATCTCACCATGAGGTTTTTGCCAAACTGAAAGGCTGATTCACTGCTATTTCTTTAAATTTACTTCATGCATTTGGAGCACACTATAATGGAAAGAAGCTGCTTTTAGATTTCTGGTGCCAAAACATTTCAGGAAAAAAGAAAATCAAAGATAAGCTTCTATCTCTTTATAAAATTGCATCACTGCTTCTTTATTCTTTCATCTTTACCGCAAATATTTAAACAAGAAACAAATGTCATCAGCTAAAGATGATGAGAAATTTATTGTGAAGACAAACAGGGCTCTAGACGTCAGAGCTGGTGAGCTGAGTCTCCTTCGTTAGGTGTGAATGCAAACCGAATTTTCACAGTAGTTACTATACACCAAATTAAACAAGATACCTTTCTTCTAAACTCACACTGTTTTGTAGATGCTTTATTTGCAGTATTTATTACAACTGCCTTTCAGATGTTATCTCTTAGAGAGAATGAATGAGAAAATTGAAGAGAAATATTAAAGGAAGAGAATACATAATAGAGGTGAAGCATAGAAAGTCAATTGTTTCAAACTGCTTTTTTGGTAATTGTTTTGTAAGTTTCTGGATGCAGAACACACAAAATTAAAATAGTATTTTTTAAACCCTGAAATTATTTGACCCATGCTAATTTCACTGGAATTAACTGCATATAGCTTCATATCATATAATTTCTCAAAACTAACACATCCTATCAATGAAATTAATAAATTAAATCAATATATCGTAAAGTACCTGGCACACTGCAAAATTCAGGAAGTCGAATTCTTTGACTCCCTGAAATTTCAATCATAGTCACGGTGTCTATATTTAGAAATTCGACAATTTACTTCTGAAAAAAAATGTTGACTAATTATCCCATCCCAGCTGCCAAAAGTATTGGAAGAATAGAAAGGGTGAGCAGCAGTGAGCGATATGGGTGTTTAAGAAACTAGCCACGGACCAGCACAGCCTCTGCGAATACGTGGCTATGTGACGACAAGGTTGTTGATGCCACAAGCCTGCGATGGGCAGCAGGCACTGTGCCAAACCGAAGGACCCGCTTCTCCAAGGGCTGCCGGCTGAACCTAAGGCTGATTTCCCTTCCGCCTCCCGGGAGCCCCAGTCTTCGCAGGCACCGTCAGGAGAATTCTGCGCCCTAATTATCCGGGGAGGAACACGCGCCTCTCCCGGAGACCGCTAGGCAACACTCACCACAGCAGCCTTCAGATTACTTCCCTCCGCGAGTGTGTGACTTCGTCTAAGCAACTCACACTTACAGTAGATTCTCACTGGCGAGGCAGCGAGCAGCAGAGGGCGGGGGAGCTGGGAGGAGGAGGAGGGAGGCGGGTGGGAGGTGCAGAGCGGGGAGCCGAGGAGACGACGGAGCTCCAGACACAGCAGGAGCGCGCCGTGGCGGTGCAGTTTCAACCTCGTCCTCCCAGCCGCGCGCACACCGCTTCCTCCCCGAGCCGCGGGAACCGCAGCAGCTCCGGGCTGCCGCCGCTGGGCTCCGCGCGCCTGCCCGCTCGCCGCCGCCACCACCTCCCCTCGTCGGCGCTCAGCCCGCAGCTGTTTCCTCCTGCCAGCCTCTGAACTCTGGATCTTTTCCTTTGCTCGCCTCTCGTATTCTCCCCACCCTGTATTTTCTGAACTCCTTTCCTTTATCCTTAGCCACCCTGCCCTTTCCTCCTCTTTTTACGGAGGATTTCTTCTTGACTGAAGATGACCTGTCTTCCTTACCTTCGTTTCAGCCCTGAAGACTGAGAAGGAACCTTTAGCTTTCCCCCAGGGGCATTTTAGAGACCTCAATCCTTAAAAGTCTTCAGAGGCAGAGAAACAGGACCCGGGACCTTCTCGACACCCTTGGGTCCAGTGCAGAGCTGCACTATCACCCATAACTAGTATTTAATTTAAGCCCGCCGAAGAGGAGGGAGAGAGGAGCCAGAAGCAAACTTCGGCCGTCTCAGAGGATCCGTGGTTCCCGCATTTGGAAGCGCCGCGTGCAAGAAGGCGGAGGACCCCACGGGGAACGCACAGGAGTCGCGAGCCTCCCTCGCCCCCTCCGCGAGTCCAGCGCCGCGGACCGAGCCGCGCGGGACAGCAGCGGCGGAGGCAGCCAGGAGAAGATGCGGGGCTCGGGGCCCCCTGGTGCGGGACGCCGGAGGCCCCCGGGCAACTGCGGCGGTGGCGGCGGCGAAGGCCACCCCAGCACCCCTGCGTCTCTGGCCGGCTGCTACTCCGCACCTCGCAGGACCCCCCTCTGGACGTGCCTTCTCCTGTGCGCCGCGCTCCGGACCCTCCTGGCCAGCCCCAGCAACGAAGGTAGTGTTGGGGGTGGGGACGGCAGCGACCTGGGGCGGAGGGGCGAGGCGGGGCCTGGAAGTGCGGGTCGGGGCGCCCTGGACGCTGCTGCCGCGGACGAAATCTCATCCCGCATCACGAATTAACATTTGTCCGCTTTCGCTAGCCTTTTCGCTCCCTCTGCTGTGCTTGGTTGCATTGTTTGACAAGAGGTGCGGAGCGCTGTGCGACTACCCTGCGTGTGGACCGAGTCTGGTCGGTGGGGGGGGGGGGGGGGTGCGGGGAAGTTGCAAGCGGGGGCAAAGAGAGGTCTGAGACCCACGCCGGAAGGTTGGGTGCGGCTGGTTCTCACTTAAACGCGTGGGGAAGTGACATTTCGGGCTGGAGGGAGTGAGAACTGTTCGAAGCTCAGCGGCGACGATTTCGGGAGCGGTGGGCTTTTAGAATCGTTATTTGGGGCGGGTGATGGGAAATATTGTGGGGGTGGCCGGCTGCTTTTATTTTGGGGGAAAGTGCCTTCTGGAAGCTGTTATTTAGGGCATCGCCACATGCTATTCTGGGGTGGGTGGCAAGAGCTGTTATTTCTCTAGGGAGGGGAAGGGCGAAGGACAGAAGGCGCCCCCACACCGTGGGGTGCCCTTCACTTTGGGGGCTCATCATTACACCAAAGTGGAAGGCGGGAAGGTGGGATGCCGCGGGAGGCGGAAGGGAGGTGGAGTGTCGCTGCCAGGAAGTTACTGCTCAGACCCACCGGGGCTAGTCTCTCCGCGAGGGAAAAGCCCCGCTCCAGCCGGCTCCGGATCCCGGAGTCCCTCAGCCCCCGCCCCACCCCCAATCCTGCGCTCCGGACCCTGAAGGCTGCCCCTTCTTTCTCCTGGGCGAGTAGGGCGGGTTTCGCGGGAACAGCACCTGTGCGACGCTCGCTGCTCTCGGAGCCGTGCTCAGCCCCGGAGCCGCCACCGCCCCGCCGGCAGCCCTCGGCCCCGGGTCGGCTCTGGCCGCGTTCGCTCCTCTCGCACGCCCGGACCGCGCTTGGGTCTGAGCTCCAGGGCTCATTCCTCTAGGGTGGGGGTGGGGGGGTGAGGGAGCAGCATCTCAGATCCAGATCTGGGTGCAAGAAACCGTCAGCCTCGCGACGAAAATATCAAAAACCCCTCCTCCCCTCTTCCTGGAATACTGGGATTTCGATTTGAGGCTCCGGATGCCAAGAGTGAGGCACAGAACCTTAAAAAAAAAATCCCTTCCACTCCTAGGGCAGGGGACGCAGGACCGGAAAGATGAAGCAGCAGCCTCGGGGTCGTGTGTGTCCTCGTGACTTGCACGGGTTGTGTGGCTGGAGGAGAAGGCGCTGAGCTGGTTTAGGAGCACTGCCAGCTCTGTAGGAACCGTGTGAAAGCAGGGCAGATCCAGATCCCTGCCCCACCCCATGAACTTCTGTCTTTAATCCTTACAATTTATTGTTTTAAATCTGATTTAAGGATTCTGCGTAGCTCACTCTGTCCGTCTGTCTACCTAACCTACCTACCTATCTAGTCGTCTGGCTATCGACGATCTCCCGTGCTCAACCCAAGCAATCTGCATTTTTCTCCCTTCCCGATAAAGTTGGAGAAGTGTTTTAAGTACTACTAGTCCTTTTATTAACCTCTCATGTTAGATTCATTATGTTAGAAGTCCGGAGGATTATGACAAGGTTTGAAGACCTTTTATTAACTGCCTTATTCCACCGGAAGGGGCATCCTGGTTTGGATTTAAAGAGTAATAGTAATAGTAGTGCCAATCATCCTTTCCTGTTCCCATTATATTTCAATTTCTCTCCCAGGTGTGATGAGGGAAGGGGTTTATGTACAGATGAAAGGGAGTAGAAGCTCATGGTTAGGGAAGGAAAAAAAGTCTCCGGGAGGGTGACGCTGAATGGGCACAAGGGCTGAGACTGCGCCGGGAGGAAGAGGCAGAGGGAAATGGAGGGAAGCTAGGAAATAGCACCGATCTCTTAAGGTGTTGTAAGCAGAGCTCAAATCCTGGGGAAGGTAGACTGGTTAACATCACAGACCTAACACCCACAGGTTGTATTGTCATTTCGCCAGCTAGTCCAACACACGGCAAAACTTGGGCTATAGTGAGGTGGGGATTGCTGGGGGGTCTATCACTATTTCACATAATAGGAAACAAAATCGTATTAATTATATGACTTCGCCTCATTCATCCCATTTCTACCCAACACTTTTACGTCTTTCCATTAGTATCATCTCAGACCATTACTTCTATTCTTGTATAAAATTTATGTTCTCCCCTTTTTGTTTGTGCATGTAAGAGTTATTATAAATCGAACAATATTATATTAAGATATTAATAAGAGCAGTTTGTTTATTTAAAGATTCCAGTTGGGGTTCTTAAGTTTGTTTTTGATTATTTCTGGAAGGTCTTGGAAGATCAGGGACAGAATGACTGGATGTATGTGCTGCATCCATTAATAACTTGCTCACATATACTTTGCTTTTGGAAACCATAGATGCTATAGACTAGTGTGTGTGTGTGCGTGTGTGTGTGTGTGTGTGTATGTGTATATATATATAGTATATGTATATATATGTGTATATATATATAGTATGTATATATATATGTGTGTGTGTGTGTGTATATATATATATATATATATATATATAATGTTCTATATGTGTATAATATGAATGCTCCCAGCATGTGAGAAAAAAATTCAAGGCAAATAGAAATAAATGTGAATTTACATTTGTAATTTTTATTCCAGTCATTTTGAGATTTTAACCTTGGTAGGCATAAATAAGCAGAACTGAAAAGGAAAAGCCAAACATATATCTAGAATCTTAAATTGAGATGGAATACATGTTAGGTATGTTGGATAAAAGACAGTTGGAGGAAAAAAATGTACTCTTTAGAGTGAATTTTAAGATAAGATAAATATACCTTTAGTTGTCTTTTTGCATACATTAGCCATAAATTACATGTGGAAGAAATCTTTGAACTGCAGTGTAATGCAAAAAAAAAAACTTTTATTATAAGATACTTCAGAGGCATATTTAGCAAGAAACTTCTAAGATTGATCAAGCAGGACAAATATTAGCAAATATATCAACAAGTGAAAATGTTAATAGATTTAATAGGAAAAGGGAGCATGTCCACTGTTAGGAATATTGGAGGTGGCCCTGAACTTATTCAGTAACTGCCACTTTTTGCTGTCTGGAGATATATTTGTAAACAAGCATTATTTGACAAGTGCTTTTCACAGCAGGGATTCTTGGCCAATTACTGCTGAACAGCTCTGCATTGAAAATGATTCACCCGCAGTGAATCAAGCTTAATTCATTGAAGCTACAGTCAGTAATGTCCCAGTAAAGTGCTTCTGACAGTTGTCAGCAGTTTGTGTTTGAAAAGTCCGGTTTCTTGTCTCTGAATGTTTTGTATGTTTTGAGAAAGTGGGGTGGAGGTGCTCTTTGGGGGAAAAAAATACACATGTACACACACAGAGTGAAAAAATTTTAGGCTAAACTGTTAAACAATCATAAAATTGTAGATGTTTTCAATGGAAAGAAAGGAAAACGGAGTTTGTTTTAGGGTTTTTCTTGGTTTATAATAGGACCAGGCCCATAAAACAGATTGGAGGACATAATAGATTTGTGAAACCAAATGGCTTTGTTTTGTGGCCTTGTCATCCTGTTATAATTCATTTCTTTTTAGATAAACCGGCAGGACCCCACAGAAAAGGGACAGTTAAAACCATTCCCTCACCATGACACTCCTAAACAAAAAAAGAGAGCAATTACCCATTTGTAATCTTAGATAGTTGGAAGTAGAACAGACCATGAAGAGTTTTGACTTTTTGCTTTATAAGACATGCAAGGGGGGCAGAGGGTTGACTCTTTAATTTTAAGATTTTTTTTTGAGGTAAACAGAGATCTTGGGTGTCAGGGTGACAGGTGAGAGGATTTCATTTCCTCACATAAGACAGAGAAGAAGGTGGACAATTCCTGCATTTACAATGGAAATTTCTCCTTTTATTGAAACTATTCTTGTATAATTATGAGTTATCAATACTATTAATTCTTTATTTCAATCCACATAGGTTACAGTTGGTATGGGAAAAGCGTTTATTTTTTTATACTTAGAAATGCATTACTAAACTTACCATTATTTATATTATTAATAATCTTCTCTACCAAATGTGATCTTTTAGAGAATCTGCACAAAATGTCAAAATTACATGTATAGCTATTTATAGACAAACATTCTCAAACTATTTAAATATTTGACTTAATTCAATATTGCTACTGTTGAGAAAATGACTATGCTTTAGTTGTATGCACTACATTTTTGCTGTTGACTTGATCACTTGAATCTCCTTTGTTTGAGTGCTTTCTTATGTATTTGCTTGAATGACTACTTAATTTCTCTTTCATTTAGAAGAAAGCTTCCTACCTTTGACTGTAAAAATAGACTATAATGTGCATTATTATATTTTATTAACTAATTATAGCTATTTTTACATATATGAGTCAAACTTAATGTTCTTTTAAAAAGAAAAATATGCTGCTAATGTCTTAAAGAAATAACTAATGTAAAAAGTATTGATAACTCTTTATTTTTTGCACTTAAATTACCAAGTATATTTCATTTTACTAATGAGTAGTTTTGATTTGAATTAGCAGAGGTACCTAAATACTCAAATACGATTTATGGCATTCTTGACTGTCTTAAAATAGTTTCACAGTTGTTTTCATAAAGCATCAAAATTACATGAAGTTTGAATATGCAGCCTTGATGATTATAAATCATTAAAAATTGATTGTGATATTTGTCCTTTTTTCCCTTTCAAGAAAGTGTGAATTTTTGCTAAAAAGGCAATATGCAAGCTAAAAATGTAAATTGTCACCTTAGAGACTCAGAATGATTCTTGCAGTTAGAATCTCTAGTGGATATGTTGAGCAGAATAGCTCCTATTGGTTGCTCTACTGGGTAAATACGTATTTTGTTATTTTATCACAATCTAT